AGGGCTGGCTGGCCAACCTCCTGCAGCCCCTCCCCCTGGCTCACCCCTGCCCTGACCACCCCCCCCAGTAGGGGGTAGAGTCAGCCAGCCAACGTCCCGCAGCCCCACCCTTGGTTGGCCCCTCCCCCAATAGACCCCCACAACCCTGATCGGCCCACAGCCCCTTCCCCTGGCCGGCCCCGCCCCAATGGGCCACCTCCACCCTGATCAGCCTGCAGCCCATCCACCTAGCCAGCCCCACCCCTCATCACCCTCCCACCCCAATAGGGGGCAGGGCCATCTTGCCAACCACTCATGGCCCCTCCCCCAGGCCACTGGCCCCCAATTGGCCCCCAACCCCAATCGGTGGTGGGGTACACCAGCCAAACACCCACAGTCCCTCCCCCCAGCTGGCCAGGCCCTGATTGGGTCCCAATAGGGGCGGGCCAGCTAGTCAACCTCCCACCATCTCCTCCTCCCAACAGGCCCAGCCCTGATCTGCCCCAATTGGGGCTGGCCTGGCTGGACCCCACCTGTGCATGAATTTGTGCACTGGGCCTCTAGTTCTTATATAAGACAAAATAGACTTTAATCCAAATAGTAAAAAGACAAAACAAAGGTCATTATATAATGATAAAGGGTCAACACTTTTAAAAGACATAACAATCATAATATACACACTCAACTCTGGAGCACCTAATATATTAAGCAAATACTAACAGGTCTGAAAGAAGAAATTGAGAGCAATACAATAAAAGTGGGACACTTCAATACACCACTTTCAACAATCTACACTAATAAAAGAGAAACATGGTAATTGGCGTACGACCGCTACCCTTCCCATTGGCTAATCAGCATATCCTTATGCAAATTAACTGTCAGCCAAGATGGCGGCCGGCAGCCAGGCAGCTGGAAGCGAACATGAGGCTTGCTTGCTCCAGGGACTGCACACTCCAACGTTCCCCACCTGACTTGCCAGCCTCTGAGCCGGCAGTTTGAAACATTCTAACAAATATAGGCCGGGATCTCAGAGCTGAAGTTATACATTGTTTCAATTATAGAACCGAAACAAAACAGATACCTGCTCTCAGAGCTAGAGCCAGAGCAAAAGCTGGCCCAGAATAAAATAAAAAAGAGGAGCGGTTGGGAGCTTCAATCAACAACCGCCAGCCTGAAAGCAGCCCTCAGCCCCTCACCCAGACTGGCCAGGCACCCCAGTGGGGACCCCCACCCTGAAGGGTGTGTGACCAGCTGCAAACAGCCATCATCCCCTCATCCAGGCTGGCCAGGCACCCCAGTGGGGACCCCCACCCCGATCCGGGACACCCTTCAAGACAAACCAGCCGGCCCCCAGGCCTCTATCCTATATAGTAAAAGGGTAATATGCCTCCTGGCACCGGGATCAGCGTGACAGGGGGCAGCACCCAAATCCCCTGATCGCCCTGTGGCTCTGTGTGTGACAGGGTGCGGCGTCCCAACCCCCTGATCGGCCCTGCTCTGTGTGTGACAGGGTGCGGCGCCCAACCCCCCCACCACCACCACCACCACCACAGGCCCTGCTGTGTGTGTGACAGGGTAGAGCCATAACCTCCCCATTGGCCCTGCCCTGAGTGTGACAGTGGCGGCGCCCCAACCCCCTGATCGGCCCTGCTCTGTGGGTGATAGAGGGCGGTGCCTTAACTCCCCTATCGGCCCTACTCTGTGCGTGACAGGGGGGAGCTCTCTCAACCCCCTGATTGGCCCTGCTCTGTGCGTGACAGGGTACGGAGCCCCAACCCCCCTGATGGTCCCTGCTCTGTGCGTGACAGGGGGCAGCACCCAACCCCCTGATTGGCTCTGCTCTGTGCGTGACAGGGGGTGGTGCCGCAACCTCCCATCGACCTGCCTTGAGTGTGACAGGTGGCAGTGCCCAACCCCCCAATCGGCCCTACCCTGAGCGTGACTGAGGGTAGCATCGCAACCTCCCAATCCGCCCTGCTCTGTGCATGACAGGGGCGGTGCCCCAACTCCCAATCAGCCTGCTCTGAGCCTGACCAGGGGCTGCACCTAGGGATTGGGCGTGCCCTCTGCCACCCGGGAGCAGGCCTAAGCCAGAAGGTCGTTATCTCTCGAGGGGTCCCAGACTGCGAGAAGGCACAGGCCAGGCTGGGGGACCCCCCTTCCCCCCCCCCCGAATGCACAAATTTTTGTGCACTGGGCCTCTAGTAGATATATAACCAGAAAAAAAATCACAAGGAAATGTGATGAGACTAATTGAACTAGGTATGGAACTAAACCCAGATAAGGCCCCTGGATATGTGACTGAATCCAGTTAGGACCTCTGTATTAACTTCTAAAATTCTGGTGGGCTCGTGCAGAAAACTACTTCTCTGGTGGCTGCCCAAGACAAGCCTGTAAGTTTTCTTGGTGATTAAACCTGCCACCTACCAACTGGAATGGTCTGCCTTTTTCTTCAGTCTCTCCCTGCCTTCCACATAGGGGGCCCAGTTTCAGGTTATACACATAAAGCTCTGCAGGAGGTTGCAACCCAACAATAGCATGTAGTAGGAACCCAATAAATGTTGAATTAATGAGTGATGCTGAAAAGTGCCCAAGATTAATGTGATTTGGGGAAACATATATTAATCACATGCTTACTTACTCCATGTCCACTGCACTTTGCTGAACAATTAAGGGAATCCTTCTTAAGAAACCTTGATTCTACACATTGACGATTTATACAAACCTAATGAAAAAAAATTTCCAAGTCAAAGAATTTCAGCTATCTTCACATTTTAATCATTAATTTTATAACATAAGATCATAACTATTCACTGCAACAAATATCCATTTAAGTAGTTTTTGCTATACCCCACAAATGTTTGTTTCATTTTCATTTAATTCAAAATAATTTTCAACTTCTCTTGAGATTTCTCCTTTCAGAATGCATTGCTTAATCTCCAAGTATTGTGAGATTTTTCAGGTAACTCCAATGTAAACTATATACTTTGGGTGATAGTGATATGTCAGTGTAGGTTTATCAATTGTAACAAATGTACCAACAATGTTTTATTATATAGGACTTATAGTATCATTAAAGGTTACCTGGTAAAATTTGTTTCCAGACATTATCACTAAGAAAAAGTATCCATGTTATGGAAAAGATTCTATTCTTACTAAATTGCCAACTGAATAATATCAAATCATCTATTGATTTATTTTTTTTTCCTTTTAGAAACATATTTTTATTTTTTAAAAATAATTTCACAAATCATTTTGTAGCTCTATTCTGCAAAGGGAATTATGATAACATTTTAATTCTTTAACTTATTTTTATTGTTGATACTCATTTTAATTCTTATTTTTATTGTTGACACTATTATAGCTATACCCATCCTCTGACCCCTTCCCTCTGGCCATCACCACACGCTGTTGTCTGAATCTATGGGTTATGCATTTATGTTCTTTGGCTAATCCCTTTACCTTCTTTCATCCAGTCCCCCTTTCCCCCTCTCACAGCTGTCAGTCTGTTCCATGTATCCATATCTCTGTTTCTATTTTGTTCACATAGATTCCACATATAAGTGAGATCATATGGTATGGGCACTTGGACTGTTTCCAAATCTTATCTATTATAAACTGCACTGCTATGAACATAGGGGTGCATATATTCCTTCTGATTAGTGTTTCTGGCTTCTTAGGATGTATTCCTAGAAGTGGGATCACCGAATCAAATGGTAGTTTCATTTTTAATTTTCTGAGTTGCAGAAGTATAATGATAAAATCTGGACTCCCTCCCCCCCTTTATAGGGCGCACAACCCCGTTAGAACTTTCTATAAGTGCCCATCAGTATATGAGTGGATAAAAAAAGGTGGTACATTTACATAATAGAATACTATGCAGCTGTAAAACAGAAGGAACTCTTACCTTTGCAACAGCATGAATGGACCTGGAGATTATTATTCTAAGTGAAATAAGCCAGTCAAAGAAAGATGAATACCATACGCTCTCACTTATATGTGGAATCTAATGAAAAAAATAAACTGACGAACAAAATAAAAGCAGAAGCGTGGAGACTTATCTTATTTTTACTTGTTTTGGCTCCATGGCCTAAATATATCTACTGAACCCCCAGGCATAGCCCTCCTTTGAGGAGACAATTGTGGCTCCTAGGCATGAAGAAGCAGCCGGCAAAGATCTGGTCAGGAATAAAATGAAACTTTGCAGAAAATTTATTCCCTCTATGTTTTCTCCATATTTGTGTCAGCCTCAGAAATAATGACTTATAATAACAATAAATAATAATAGCCAACCTGTATTTAACTCTTACAATGTGTTGAACATTGAGCTAATCACTTTATACTGTTATCTAATTTCATCTTCTCATTAACCCCACAGAGTAAAAGCTATTATTATCCCCACTTTACATATAATTGTAGTATCTCACACTGGTTAGTTAACTAGCAAAATGTCAAAACATAAGAGGTGAATAGTTGATTCTATGCAGTCTGAAAATTAACTTGTGATCTTATCTACTGGGCCACAAAGAGACACATATTACCCAGTTTTACTTTTATTACCTTTTCCACATACTACTTTTTACAAGAAGAAAAGTGAATTTTCATGCTAGAGAGGACTTAACTAGTGTATTTCCAAGATCTCTCCCCTCCCCACTCTAGTCCTAAAATAGTTGGTAGTTTCCTTGTTCACAACATTGAAATTCTGAAAAGGATCAAACTGTTCCATTTCCCTCTTAATATCTGAAGCCTTACTGAAGCTTATTTTCTCTTTCTCTAAATATTTAAGTTTATATAGCACTACAAATGAATTTAAAATTTGATACTGAAAATATGTGTTAAAGAAATAAATTTAATTTAACTTTAAAAATAAATTTTAAATCACTTACTCTCTCAGAATCACATTCAGAGCCATCATTGACCACCAGTGGATCTACATTTGAGCCATGAAGACTGTAGTCTAAAGTTATACATATAACATTTCGTACATAAGCATAAAGCACAGCAACATTTCTTTGAATGTAAGGAGTTAGAGTAGGGTAGGTACAAATTAATCTTCCACATATAAGATTCCTACAAATATAATAAAATTATATTATTATACATATTAGGCATTTATTGAAAATGCTTCAGATTTGCTTTATAAGAAAAAAATTTAAAAATACATGGTTCGTAATATATGGCAATATGTCTAGGGAAAATGTAATACTTTAACACTAACATTTAAAGTAAAAAAGTATAAAGCTGCTGATACAAGATTATCTTTCAATGCTACTTTTGGTCTTTTATTCACTGTGCAGATTTATATCTTATTGTCAAATAATCAATTCATGCAAGCACTTTATAGGATCTAATGGTAAACAAATTAGACCCATACCCTTATCATCTAATACTAAATGTGATGTTTTGTTGAGTTGTTCACCAGAAACCTGAATGGTTTGGTGGACCAGTTTCATCCCAATAAATTCAATTTTTAAAAAGGATAATTGTTTTTCTAGAAAAAAGTTCTACAAATGAAATAAAGAAATTCTTACAGATATTTAAGATGAGGACACATTGTAATTTAGCAGTCAGGAAAACTTCAAAGAGAACAGGCCATCTGAGTCAAAGCTTACAAGTTAGTAGGATTTTAACAGAGTAAGGCATTTCTAAACAAAAGTAAAAGCATAAGCAAATCAAGGAAATATAAAACTACATGATATATTTACCTGCCTACAAATTCCATGAGCACAAGGGCCATGTGTCATTTTCTAACTAGTATCTAGCCCAGTGTCCAGCACATAGATTATTAATAAATGTTTATTAAAACAAATTCATGACCAATATATCAAAGAGCTGGCTCTTCAGATACAGGAAAAGATTAACTTTATTTTATTAATGTATCTCTACTGTTGAAATACAAATGTCCCCCTTTTCCCCCATTGACCTTTCCACCTTGCACCCGCACCCCCCACCCCCAAGGCCTTCACTGCGCTACTGTCTATATGTTCATGGGTTATACATATATATGCATATACATGATCTCATCATACATAGGATCTAATGAACAAAATAAACTGATGAACAAAATAGATCCAGAGACACAGAAGCATGGAACAGACTGACAAATCTCAGATGGAAGAGGGGTTGGGTGGGTGGGAAGAGATTAACCAAAAAATGAACTTCATTTTAAAGACACTGGGCAGTCTTCAGCTTGGGCAAGCAATCAAATGAATGAGAACAGTATTTTTATAAAGAAAAATGAGCAGGTTCAGAAAGGAAAGGTGCAATAGACATTATTAGTTTCAACTACTATTGGATTTAGGAACCTAATGGTCATCTACATGTGCTTACAACTAGATGTAAATTTAAGCCTGTAGCACAAGAAAGATGTCAGAGCAAAGATTTTGATCTGAGATTCACTCCCATACACATGTCATACTTGGAACCACTGGCAAGAATAACACATAGGAAGAAAAACTAGTCCTGGCCAGTGTGGCTCAGTTGGTTAGAGCATCATCCTCTACACAAAAAGGCTGTGGGTTCGATTCCTGGTCAGGGCACATTCCCAGTTTGTGGGTTCAATCCCCAATCGAGACATGTACGAAGGCAACTGATCAATGTTTCTCTCTCACATCAATGTTTATCTCCCTCTTCCTCTCTCTCCCAAAAATCAATTAAAAAAAAACAACTAAAGATAGAATCTTATAGAACAAAATTATATTTAGTATTTGCATAGCATACCTCCATTGGCAGAATTTATATTGGCCTCTTTCCTTACCGCAGTTCCCAAACCTATCAAGTTGAGATTGTATTTCTTCATAGCAGGCAAATGGAGCATTTTTTGAACCTGTCAAAGTTTAAAATGTATTTGGATTAAAACTCCCTTTCTTTTTCATCTTCTTCATTGCCTCAGATATTATATCTCCTTTTCCTTTATTATTTAATTAAAAAATGTTCCCAATGAGGTTGTTGAAAAATAGAAAAATAAAAGTGAAAGGACGATGGTCATGTTATTCCTCCTTTCACTTCATTTTCTGTTCTTTTCATCACAAAAGATATGAGGTGTAAGAAGAATCACAGAAGTGTAATCTATGAGAGGGCTCTGTGAAAGAGAGCAATAAAAAGATAACACAAGAAAATTATACTTGTTTTCCTAGATTCTGAGTAGGAACTCATAAAAAGCCAGGTCTATAATGTAATCTCATTAAATAAACCTCATTGTATCTTCAAGAAGTCTTTTAAAAAGGACTAAAATTGCCAATCTTTATATATAACTATTTTTTACTTTGTTACTATATTAGTTTTACTACCAAAATATTGGCAGCTTACACCCTCTTATAATGTCAGTTTTTAGAAGTCAGAAGTCCAGCAAGGCAGAAGTGATCTCTCTACATCTCTCTACCCAGGGTCTCACTAGAAGGGTCTCACTAGAAGTTATTGGCTGAGGCTGAAGTCTTCCTGTGAGCTGATTATTGGTGGAATTCAGGGGGGGGGGGTTGCAGTCATAGCTTCATTTTCTTACAATCTGCCAAGGATTGATCTTGGCTCCTAGGAATTGCCCCCATGTCCTAGTCACATGGCCCTTCAAAACATGGCAGCTTAGCCCGGCCAGCATTGCTCAGTGGTTGAGCATCAACCTATGAACCAGGAGTTCATGGTTCAATTCCCAGTCAGGGCACATGCCCGGATAGTGGGCTCGATCCCCAGTGTGGGGCATACAGGAGGCATCTGATCAATAATTCTCTCTCATCGTTGATGTTTCTATCTCTCTACCTTTCCCCTCCTCTTTGAAATCAATTAAAAAATATATATAACACAACCATGGGAGCTTATTTATTCTAAGCCAGCAAGAGAATCTGTCTGACATCTCCCATCTTTTAAGGGCTCACATAATTAGGTCAGACCCACTCACAATGATCTCAATTCACTCAAAGTTAACTGATGGTGGACCTTAAACACGCCTTCAAAGTTCCTTTCTCACTATATAACCTAATAACAAGAATGATATCCCATCATATGTTCACTGGTTCTGCCAAACTCAAACGGCACTATCCAAAGCATGTACAACAGGAGAGTCTGGGGGGCCATTTCAGAATTCTGCACAGCCCAGTTACCTACTCTAAAATGAGTCTCACTAAGCCTAACTGCTTCATCCACAAAAGCAGATGATAGTATCTACCTCAGTAGACTGTTATGAGAATTAAGATGATGTTTATTTAGTCACTGTTAGTTTTCAACTATTCCTTCTCTATATTTTTAAGATCAAGAAGGTTTCTCCTGTTTACCTGCCCCTTCCATGATTTACATTTTCCCCACTATTTTTTTTAATCTTTTATCTTCTAATTCAATATCTTTCCACCATTTTTAAATATTGGTCCATTGTGTATATACCATAAAGACAGGCAATGTTATTTTTTAGAATTCACAATCTATACATATAAAAGCCTAAGCGTCCATTACGACGGAACCACTGGTTGCTTTGACGCACACTGAGCAGGCAGGCAAGCGAGCGGTTAGGAGCGAATGGTCCTGGATTGCGAGAGGGATGTCCAAGGGGTCCTGGATTGTGAGAGGGTGCAGGCCAGGCTGAGGGACCCCCTCCCCCATGCACAAATTTCATGCACCAGGCCTCTATTGTTTAATAAGTTCAATTGTGACTTTGAGATACCAGGTTAGGAATGCCAATGCAGGAATTGTTAAACATCATGATAATATCCAAGGAAATTCAGAAACTGGATAACTCAGCCCAGTTTGGAGAGAGACTATACAAGAATATGTTAGTCACAGAGAAGTCAATGAATTCTGTTAAAAGTGATGTTTTTCATCTAGTCCAATTCTTATTAGTCCATCTATTGCATCTAAAGGTACCAATGAGCCATATTATTAACTTCCCCCTTGAACGCTTCTTATTAGTTAAAGACTTTCTCTCAGATCAGTCTGGGTTTTCCAGGATGAGATAAAAACACTAAAAGGGCAGCACTTTGCAAATGTGAAATCACATGTCAAATATTCCCTTAAGTCCACCATACTGACCAAGTCTACTGAGTAAAAAATTTGCCCTCTGATATTCCAAATAATATAATTAGATTCCCTTATCCTATTATCAAAGAATATGAGGTACAATAAAATACTGAACATAACCTAATATCTGATTCACCTCATCTCATGACTAACAGGCATTTACAATTGAACATATCCTAAAACCAAATTCAGTTTTACCCCTAGACTTCCTTGTTTCAGTTTATGGAACCATTTAGTAAACCAGATATTCAGGCTAACACTTAGGGATCATCCTTGATTTACTTTATCCCACATTTCCTGCCTCCACTATGTAATCCAACTCTTATTGACATTACCTCCTAAATACAGCCTGAGCATGGCCACTGCTCTCTCACCTTCTCCATGGCCATCAAAGGTACAAACTTCATTATAAGATGACTAAATTCTGAAAATCTAATGTATAGCATTAGGTGCATTATATACTTGCAATTATATACTAGAAAGTACCTTACATACTTGAAGATTGCTAAGAGATTAAATCTTAAATATTCTCACCACACAAAAATAGGATTGGTAATTATGTGACATGATGGAAGTATTAGCTAAATGTTATGGTGCTAATCACTTCACAATATCTGAGAATCAAATCAACACATTGTACAACTAAACTTATACAATGTTGTATGTCAATTATATCTCAATAAAGGTGGGGGTAAGGAAGACTTAAACATTAAGACTTGAAACAATAAAACCCCTAAAAGAAAACATAAGAAAAAAGCTCTTAGACAGCAGTCCAGGCAATAATTTTTTGCATATGATACAAAAACACAGGCAACAAAAGCAAAAATAGACAAGTGGGGCTGCATTAAACTAAAAAAATTTCTCAGCAAAGGAAAGAATCAACACAGGGAAAAGAAGCCCCCACCCTGCGTGAGCCGGTGGGTCTATGGCTGGCCGACGCTCTCTGACGCCTCCCACCTTCCAGGGCTCTCAACTGCTGCTCTAGGACAAACATTGCCAACAAGACTGCCACCATCACAGGATGAATCTAAAGGACTTAATTGCCTGGAGAAAAAAAATGGCAGAGGCTTAGACGGACGTGTTGGTGCTTTGTCCCGGAGCAGATAGGGGCGAGCAGCTGAAACGGGTAACAATCAGCCCGATCAAGCTGGGGAGGTTCAGCTGAGAGACAGTCTGCAGCCAGGAAAGACAGAGAACTCCTAAAAAATGCGGATGGTTAGAGATTGAGGCTGAAACCTCCCCCTGGGCGCCAGCGCAGCGGCGAGACCGCGCCATCTTGGGTAGCTGTTACCGGCATCCAGAGATCGGCTACTAACCCGGCGGCTACTAACCTGGAGGCAACGACTCGCAAGCAGCGCGACTGCAAGAGCCCAGAGGAGACCTGCATCCCTCCACGGAAAGGTTAGACTTACCCCAAAGGTGCGGTTTGCAGTTCAGGTTGGAGCGAGGGGTGCGCGCGCGGGCGCAGGGGGAAATCTGCGCCCTCCAAAATCCGCGCCCATAGAGGCCAGCGTGACCCGCAAGTGGGGAGGGCTCCCGCAGGGCTGCTGCCAGAAGGTAACACTATAAATGAGCCCATAGTTGGACTGGATGCAAAAGGGCTACCTCAGAGTTTCCCTGATAGCCGGCTGCTTGTTGCTGGGGGCTTGAGCGCGCACAGACACTCCGCGCAGTTCTGGAGGGTGGAACCCTGCGAGTTCGAACAGCTTCCCAGGCTCTTGTTTGCACACTTCCTCTTACTTCTGTGAGTTTGATTGTTGACCCCAGTGCATGTGACTGCCCAGTTGGGGTCACTAGCAGAGCTTGTAGGGGAAGATTGTTTTTGGGGAGCCTGGGAAACAGAGCTGGGAGTGGTGCCTGGGGAGCCAGCTCTGGGCGGAGCTGGTTCAGGTACAATAGAGAGCTCCTGGTCAGAGAGAACTTATAGCCTCGGAGGTCAATCCAGACACACTGCCACCCAGAGGCAGAGCCACGAACTGACTCTTCTGTACATACAGATAAGGCAATAAGGGGATTTTACGGCCGGCCTTAACACTTGGGTTGCGGGAAACGAGTTAAGTCGGCTTGCGTGAATTGCGCGTACTCCGCGGGAGCCGTCTTAAACTCGGTTCATATAGATTTGCGGTGGAGTGCGGGAAACGTGTAAACTCGGGCCGATTGTAACTGCGTATTACCAAATATTTCATTTCAATCGAACCCATACTTCAAAAGATATAGGCATTTTAACGCGCCATCTTATATTTTGGCGGGAAATTCACCCGCAACCCAAGTGTTAAAATCAGGACTGTGGCTTACAACACGGAGGAACAGTGTATCAGAGGGAAATTCAACATTCTCCTGAATTCCGGGCGTGCCAATAAGAAGAGTAGAAGATCTGAAGCACCTGCATTACTGCACATTTTTATTTTTATTTTTTTAAATTACTTTTTCTCCTTTTAACTAAGAAAATATTTTTTTTCTTTTTTTCTTTTTTCTTTTTCTCCATCACCTGATTTTGCCCTTTCAGCTACTACATTTTTATTTTTAACTAGTATTATTACCGCTACCATTTTACCATTCTTTAAAGTGTCATTTTATTTTGTCTTTATTTTATTTTGGGACTAACGTTCTCCATTCTATTTTCATCGTTCCTTTAGCAACATTTTTCTCTACCTCAATTTGCCTCTGTGCTAAACAATCTTCCCCACTTTTTCCCTTTTGCTGTCCTGTTTCTCTTACCCTACTCCAGCTTTTGATTTTCCCTACTCTTTTTACCCCCTGTCAAAATTTAACCCTGCTTATATATCCTACGTCCAATCCCCTGTTCTAAATCCTTATACACCTTTCCCTTATCTTCCTTCACTATCCAATTTTTTTTTCTTTTTTTCTCTTCTTCTTCTTCTTTTCTCTCTCCATTGTTTTATTGTTGTTTGCTTGATTGACGAGTATATTTGGGGTTTTTTTTTTTAGGATTGTTTGTGAGGTTAGACTGCTTATTCTTTTTATTTTCCTGCCCCTCCCTCTCCCCCCCCCCCCCCCCGGTTATTTCTGTGCTTCTGTTTCCCCTTGCGTCGCTTGATATTATTGGTTGTTTGTAGTTTGTATTCATCTCCAGGAATCTGTTGCTGTAATTTGTTGGTATTAGTGGCGGACCTATAGGAGTTTTCTCCTCATATAAATAGTCTCTTCCCCTTTTATACTTCATTCTCTTTTCTCTCTTACTTTTTTTTTCTTTTTTTTTTCTTTTTTTTTCTCCTCTTTTTCCCCTCCCTTTTCCCAATTTCATTTTTGCAATCCTTTTTTTCTTTCTTTCTTTTTTCTCTTCTACCTTTTTCTCTTCTTTCCCCCTTATCTCCCAACTCTCTTAGCTCGGGTGGCCACCTTTATTTGTGGTTAGTAATATCGTAAATACAATAGTGTTCAGTGCCTGGTACGTTGTGCCTTGTTGTGTTGTATTTTGTGCCTTTAAATCAACGCAGCAGATTCAAGCAACAGCGGCCTCCTGATCACCACACGCTCTGCCTGGGGAACAGTTGCTGTGTGTGAAGCCTCCCTCCACCAGCCAGAAGAGCCACCACAGCTGTGAACAGCACCCACCAGAGGCTCTGCTATCAACAGAGGAGCCGCTGCTACCACAACCGCTCAAGGAGCAACCACAGACCGAGGAGCCACTGCCACCCAGGGAGCAGCCACTGCCACCCAGGGTCCAGCCACTGAACGACTCAACAACTAGTCATGTCAGTGAGATCAAACATGGGTAGACAAAGAAACCCCCAAAGGAAAGAAAAGGAGGACTCGCCAGAAAAGCAGCTAAGTGAGACAGAGATATGCAACATGACGGAAAAAGAATTCAGAATAAGGTTCCTAGAGTACATGCACCGGATGTTCAAGAAGCAAGAAGAAACAGATGAAAAACTCAACTACGTATGCAAGAAGCTAGAAGAAACAGGTGAAAAAATCAACAACTTAAGTAAGTCCCAAGAAGAAATGAAGAGCGACATAGCTGCAATAAAAAACACCATTGAAAGTATCAACAGTAGACTGGGAGAAGCGGAGGACCGAATCAGTGAATTAGAAGACAAGGAAGCAAAACACACTCAAACTGTACTGCAAATGGAGAAAAAAATTAAAAGACAGGAGGAGAGCCTAAGGAAGCTTTGGGACAACATGAAACGAAACAACATACGAATAATAGGGGTGCCAGAACAACAGAAAGATGAACATGGATTAGAAAACCTATTCGAAGAAATAATATCAGAAAACTTCCCTGAGGTGGGGAAGAAAAAAGTCACACAAGCCCAGAGAGTCCCAAACAAGGTGAACCCGAAAAGACCCACACCAAGACACATCATAATTACCATGGCAAATGTTCAGGATAAAGAGAGAATCTTACAGGCTGCAAGAGAGAGACGGAAAGTAACATACAAGGGATCTCCCATTAGATTATCAAATGATTTCTCAACAGAAACACATCAGGCGCAGAAAAGAATGGACGGAAATCTACAAAGTGA